CTTTCTAGGTGCGTGGATTTTACGATCTCAGAAAATTTGTCCTTCCCCGGGTCCATGACCAAAAATAAGAAAACACGTCCTCTTGCTTAGTCGGCTAGCTTAGCTTGTAGCTAGTATCTGGGTTGCCAGTTTGGTAAATAATTCCCTATACTCTTCTGCATCCAGGCTTATTCGCAGTTAGTGTGACGTAGGACTCAGCCAAAAATTTAAATTGCACTTAAGATCTCAACGACGTCGCCCCATAAGAGGGTCCAGAAGGAAACTTCTTCCTCATGTAGCAATCCCAGAGAATGTGAGTTAGATTATTTGGGTGGATTGTACCTGACAGTGTCCTAGACCCTCACTGACTAATAACTTGTTAATAAACAAGTTCGGACAGTTTTAGATTCGAATCCGGTATACGAGAGTTTTGTTCTTAAATTGTGTACATTTAACCTTTAAGAAAAACTAAAAGGACAAGGTTGATAGTTCACAAAGACTGCCTTTGTAACCGTCTCAATAGAGTTAATTGAAGACTTCGTATCATTCGTCAACCAAAGTCAACGACCTTTATTAATTTTATGTGTGCTGGAGACAAGTATAATTTTGAGTATCAGCATGAATATGGGAAACACGTTTATGGTTTTCAAAATGCGGTACAATAAATTTTATCATATTAAACGACAGAAGCCACTGAAGAGACCAAACTCTTAACCGACGGGAATTTTCATGGACCGTTTCAGCAAATAAATGAAACTTTAAAACGTACCAGTATTATGACTAAGATTGCAAATGTAGACGTCAGTTTTCTAAAGAGTAGAATACCGGTTCAGTTGCGTGTTCCGTCTTACATGCATTAATATTTAGGTGGAACAGGCAGGATTACAACCTACTCGGAAGGGTGACTATGCAACTTCAAACCAACAACCTACGGTGTGATTGTATGTTAACAGTCACTTGAAAATGAACTTTCTGTAAATTGATTCCATTTAGACTTTATTTGACATAAGGAATTCGCAAGGCGTACATCTATTTCCCACAAATAAATTAAACTACTATGAAGGATAATAACGACCATAATAAATTTTATAATAAGGTATTTCAATTCAAATAACCCCTAATTGATCTTAGCTTAAATTTGAAATTCCGTTGCACACACCGTCGGACCGTGAGAGTACTCTCGTTCAACTTTACAACAAAGCCGAAAATAATGACCTCCATTGAAATGGCATCATTCAAGGTGTATTATCGTGCTGCTGCCAAAGTGGCTAAGCAATTGAGTAAGGATTCCTCGTGGGGTCTTCGGAAGGTCCTTATGTATTATAACCGCCTACTTACATATTTGAGTAGGGCCAATTACCTACAATCTTCCAGTATTCTGAACGCCAACCGTCGATCCAGCAGGGGCTGGATGGTGGCATTGAACAGCTGAGGGTTCCTCGGAAGGCCGCCGCATACGATAACCGCTTAAGTTATTTTACTAACCCAAAATGACTTTTTAAATTAATCGTTTAATCGTTTACTTGCACATTTTAAGTAGGGTCAATTTAGAAAATCTTCAACACTCTTCACTCGTTCGACTTTATTTTAGTTGGGGTTGGTTGTGCTATTAGAAAATGTACCTCAATGGCCTCGCCCGAGGTCAGGGCACACTCCCTCGACATGCACGCGCTCGCCCTTGTTCCGGTGGGGGGTTAGCGATGATATTAATGCGTACTTCAGTGTTCCCGCCCGAGATTTGAGAACGCGACCCAACTTATCCTCTTAACATTCATATTTTACAGGATTATTACGATCTAATTAGTTCCCTGACATGCCCCGCCCGTCCTCTCCCCTAAAATCGGGAGCCCGTAAGACAGGGGGGCACGCTTAGTGCTCCCCGCAGG